TGAACCCCCCCCCCCCCCCGCTCACCCGGGATTGCTCTTAATTCTTCCTGGCTCATCTTCAGCTGCTGCTTATGGAATTTGACCTCCCTCTGCTCTGGATTGCACTACTGCCCTCCTGTCCCCATTAGACTGACTGCTGACTGCTGCCTCCCTGTGCGCACCCTGATTGCTCGGGGCCTGATCTCTAACCAGGATGCTCCGGCAACCATTTAAGGGGAGGATGAAGGAGGGCCCTGCTAGACAGAAGACCAATCTGGCCCTGCCCACATTCTAGAAAATATTTGTAGTACCAGGAATGGTGTTGGCAGGCACCATGGCAGCCATGCCATATCATGCCTTTTTCCATGTGACTCAACCACAGAAGGAGGGTTGCCAACTCCGGGTTGGGAAATTCCTGGAGATTTGAGGCACGGAAGGGACTTTAGTGACGTATATTGCCATTGCATCCACCCTCGAAAGCAGCCATTTTCTCCAGGTGAAGAGCTCTCTGTTAAGAACGTAAGAAGAGCCCTGCTGGATCAGACCAGTGGTCCATCTAGTCCAGCACCCTGCCTCACACAGTGGCCAACCAGCTCCACTAGAGGGCCAAACACAGGGCACAGAGGCTGAGGCCTTCCCCTGATGTTGCTCTTGGATTCCCTGCCTGGAGGTTGGCAACCCTATACCCAGATGATCTCCTGTTTGAGCACTGAATAGACCCACTTAGCCTCAGCAGTGGCATGGGGCTCCATCCCATGACCTTTCCCTCAGGGACAGGAGCCTGATCCACAAGTACAGTAAAAAGGCCTTGGCGTTTACATCGTTAGAGTGATTTGAACCTTGGGCTTCCTGTCTCATCTGGGTCCAATTCTCTTTCGAAACAACAGCTACCACTAACCAACTAGCAACAGAATTATCCCAAATTATACATTTTTAGCCGGTTTTCTAGTTCCACCTTGTTTAACAACAACAGATCACCAAAGCAAATCTCGCAAGCTCACATTTGGACCAATTTTCTCATAAAACGGGGACATGAAGCCAGGTGGGAAACAGGATCCACCCAAAAAGACTGCTTGCTTATTTAAAACTTGCAGCTCCCTGATGTTGAAGTCACTTGTGCAGAGAGGTGAACTTTGTAAACCTCATTTGTAGATGCCTGTGAAGCTCTGGATGAGGCCAATGATGAAAATGGTCAATCTCCAACCAAAAACTGGCTGAAGTTCAATCCATCCAAGAGGAAGGTCGTGTGGCTGGAAAAGACTGAGATGCCAACTGGAGAGTCACTCCAGAGACTTGATGGCGTCCAGCTAACAGCTATAGACTCGGTAAATGTAAAGAGCCTCGGGGAGTGATTAGATTCTGTGCTGCCATTGAATCAACAAGTGTCCCAGGTAGCACAGTGGTGTTTTTTCACCTACGCCAGGACCTCCAGCTAGTTCCTTATTTGTCACATTGATCCATGCAACAGCCACCTCCAGACTGGACTACTGCAATTTTCTCTAGGTAGGGCCACCCTTGAAAACACTTCAGAGACTACAGGTAGTCCAGAATGCAGCTGCCAACTTGCTGACTGGAACATCATGGTCAGCTCATATTACTCCACTGCTCATATTACTGCACTGCCTACCAATTAGTCTCTGAATCCAATCAAGGTGTTGGTATTAATCTTTAAAGCCTGTCTGGGACCCTCATACCTATAGGACCACCTCTCTCGCTACATCCTCTCGTGCTCTCTTCGGTCATCCTCTGGGGGCTTCTTGCAGGTGCCTGGCCCTAGGATGGCCTGGTTAGCAGTCACCAGGGGAAGGGCCTTGTCAGTTGTGGCCCCTGCCCTCTAGAATGCACTCTCAGATGACACCCGTGCCCTGCCGGACTTGTTCAGTTTCTGCAGGACAAGCAAGTCTGCATTGTTTAGGTTGGCCTTTGGAGGGTAATCCACATATTTGGGCTGTAGTGATATGGTGATAGCCTCATATTTTAATATTTTAATGTTAATATCTTATAATTGTTATTATGTTGTTTTTACCTTATTGGTTTTAATGTTGTAAGTTGCCACAAGAGCCTTTGGGTGAGCGGCAACTTAAAAAAATAAATCTAATAAATAAATAAATGGTCCAGGCCAGGACTCCTTTTTTGATAGATCAGCGGTGGAGGCAATGTTGTTGACTCAAACAGTTCCTGCCAGGATGCCCAGTCTGGCCACCAGACTGTTTGCTAAGGAAGAATTCCCAGGGTATGTTCCCTTTCCCAACCAGGTTGCTCCACGCTGACCTGCCAAGTTCTCCAAAAGCTGCTGGCTGTTGGCCACCAG